CTGCTGACTGGGCTCTTAGAAGACATTTAGGGGTAAGTTAGAACTAAATAACAACACAAAATACTGAGAGCCAGACTGGTGGCTGTAAACAAACTTTTGGGGCTGTGGGAAACATAGCCACAGCCATGACAAGTGGACATCCGGATACCTAAAATCATGCCAGACCACAGATGTTGCTGGACCAGAAAGTGCTGGAGTACCGAGGTTCAACCTGTATTCATGTAAGCTGCACTTCTGTTAAGTTTAGGCATACAGCTACTCAATTTGCTCATGCAAAAAAATAAGCATGAAACACTGTTCGTGCAAGAATTTGATAGATCAGACTGCCTCGTGTTGAAAATCTGACTCAGATGACACTCCTTTCTCTCCCCACCTCATACTTTGCACTGTTTTTACCGGTTTCATATCTACTATAGAAAGACAATGCAAAATAAAAAGAGAATTTTGTGGCGGGTTTTAATTTAAAATAGACTTTGGTGCAGAATTTAAAAATTGGACCCTAGCAATAATTACAAAACTTGGCAAGCACAACCAAATTTAATACAACACAGCAATCTGTCATAGGCTCAGCTTTCTGATTCTATTTAATTACCAAGTCAAGTCATCAAAGTGGCTGAATAAAAAATTAAACAGTTTTCTGAACGAATTCAGAGTCTGTAAGTAGTTTGAAACCATGTTCTCTTTACATGATGCCTTAAGCTCTATGATTAAAGAGAATCAAGGCCCAGGCCAATCAGGAGTAATAGCGGAACAGTGCTATATTAAAGTTAATTGAGTGCTTGCTGATAAAGTCGCAAGAGTAACAGCACTGGAGACAGTCCACATGTACAATATAGACAGTGGAAGTACTGGATTTCTCATTCCTCACTTAGGAACCTCAAAGTTAACAGATAATTGCTTGCATTTAATGTACATTCAGCTTTTGGAATAGGGTCCAGGTGGTCCATAGGAATAAAAAAAAATATAGAGTACAGGTTTAATCTCCCAAATTCGGGATTTTCTGGTCCAGCAACAGCCATCGTCTGGCAAGGCCACAGATGTTGCTGGATCAAAGAGCCCCGCAGGCGGGAACAACACAAGGGCTGGACAGCCCCATCTGGGCCAGGAATCATCTGGGGAGCCCCTGGTACCAACAGGGCCAGGCAGTGACTGGGAAACCCCCGGCATCAGCGGGACTAGTTAGTGGCCATGCTGCTCCGGCCCTGGCTGAGGAGCTCTGGTAATAGTGGGGCCAGGTGGGTGGGGTGTCCTGCTCCTGCCAGGGAACACCCGGCTACAGCAGGGCTGCTAGCAGCCAGGCAGTCCCGGTCAGGAACCCTGGGAAATCCCTGGTGGCAGCGGGGCCAGGGTGAGGGGGTAGCCTCCACCAGGGAACCCTCCAGCTGAAGTACAGCTGGTGGAGGCGGGCGGCCCTGGCTGGGGAACCCACAGAATCCCTAACATTGGGGAGGAGTGGCTGGGTGGCACCAGCAGGGGCTCCCCCAGTGGCAGTAGGGCTGCCGCCAGCTGAGTAGCCCCAGTCAGGAACCCCAGGGAACACCCTGCAGCAGTGGGGCTGGCAGCAGCCAAACGGTCCCCAGCAGGAACTCCGGGAGACCCTGGGGCAGCAGGGTGGGATGTCAGGCTGGCCCAGCATTAGCAGGGCCAGGGGCAGGGCAGGGAGTCCCAAGGAGAGAAGCCTGGGAGTGGGGCACCCAGCAGGGGAGCACTGACCTTCCCTGGTCCGGGACAGCTCAGGTGCCAGACCATGGAGGTCCATCCTGTAGTTTATTTTGCAATGTCAGAGTAATAGGGATGTGACCTCAGCCACTGACTTACTATACAAAAGCTAATCAAGAGTCCTCAAGTGTGTAACCAGATTTCTTGAGGAAAGAAAATAGCCACTGTCAGAGACCAGGGTTAAAACTTTTATCTCTAGTGACCCACATTCAGATACCTAGAGCCATATTTGAAAACAATGTAAAACTCAATCAAATATATCCCACACAGTGCTTCCTTAGCCAGCAAAGAGAAAGGAGCAGAAGAGTCATTCTAAAGAACCTCCCTTGCAGATCTGATTTACCAGGGAGGTGCTAAAGTGAGAATGGATGCAGAGAAACCCTACAAGAAAGAGAAAAATAAAAAGCAGCATTTCAAGACAGACTGAACACCTGCAGCCCCATCAAGCTCAAAGGGAATTTCACATGCTCAGCCATCAAGCCATGGACTGGGGCCAAAGTATGGATTCTGGTGCCTAATTTAGGCACCTAATTAAAGCAAAGCAAAGGGCTCCTAAATACAAATACCTAGCAGATGATCACAAACCATTACACAACACTATCTTGGTAGGTCATCATTAGTACTACTGATTTTGTTTAATAAGATATTGGCAATTTAGATATTGGCATATAGAGAGCACGCTTATTAAATTTGCAGATGATACCAAAGGGAGGGATTGCAACTGCTTTGGAGGATAGGGTCATAATTCAAAATGATCTGGACAAACTAGAGAAATGGTCTGAAGTAAATAGGATAAAGTTTAATAAGGACAAATGAAAGTACTCCACTTAGGAAGGAACAATCTGTGTCACACATACAGAATGGGAAGCGACTGTTTAGGAAGCAGTACTGCAAAAAGGGATCTAGGGGTTATAGTGGGGGGTATATCAAAACCAAACCAAGAGATTTTACCTGCCTTCAGCCAGATATGCTATGAAAAAATGATGCATCTGAATTATTTGGGATCAAACATTCAAGACTACCTCTTTGCTCCTTATCCTGATTAGTATCTGTATTCACACACCATCCTTCTGTCACATAGGTTGGCAATTAGAGATATCTGAATAGTGGAGAGTTATAGGAATATCAGCATGGGAGAGTCCCACATTACTATTAATCTATTCTCTTCCTACTTGAAAGTAACAACTTGGTGATTCCTATGGTTTTTATTACTTTGACCTCACATGGCTCTTATGATGGGAATGTATAATCCCCAGCCAGAGGCTGGCAGGGAAGACTAGTTGCTTGCTGTGAACATAGGGATTGGCAGAGTAAAGCTAGGGCAGCTTGTGACCCTAGCAACATACTACACAAAGATGTGTTATGGAGTTGGGACTGGCACCAAGAAGTGGGAAGGTTCTGCTGGGAAACTCACCAAGGTAAGGAGGAAAGGGTGATAGGAGTTGGTTCTCTTCCATTCTGCAAACAAGAGATGAGCCAGGCTTTTACCTTGTTATACTTTTATCTCCACTCTGGCTAAAAGATTCCTACTTTATTTGTGTTTGAGCTTTGAGGCAGAACATATACATCTTTTCAGGTTTAAGAGTAAAAATATCAAAAATTTAGACCCTTTCCTGATTTTGTAGGCACGTCGCTGTCCCAATCACCCCTGCCTTTTTTCTTAGAGCAAACCACTCCCCTCCCTCAATTTCAGTCATTTTGAATTTTATGTGGGTGATCTTTTGCAGTAGGCTTACACTGTATTTCACCATTCCAACTGCACTGTACAGTGCTTCTGGGAATCATAGCCATAGAGAGGTAGTGATTCACAAGCATATTTAAAAATAATTCCAGAAGATTAATTAAATACAGATTAGATTGGACTCCTTTTTAAGTAGGTTTTGGTTTTGAGCTCTGTGTTATCAGACACTTCTCTCTTTAGCAACATTAAAGGAGCTGGTGCTTTCAGGAAGTCAGGGTGGAGGAAAAGACTAGAAGACAGACATATTTGTTCATTCCTAGTCATACAATTTAGGGGCATGCACTAATGAAAATTCTGGTATATGTATCTTCATGGGTCATATATCAAATGGACAAGGCTTTTGAAAAAAAGCTCACAAATTTTTTATATTACTAGATAAAAATAGTTAGCCCCAAAGAAACTGCTATACACATACTCTTAGAAGCTGAATTATTCTCTTCGCTTAAAACTTAAGAAATAGATAGTTATACAAATAATTAACAACAAATAAGGTTTGGCTTACATAGCTCAAGGCAAATAAACTTTGGCTCACTGAGGGTATGTCTACACTACCCCGCTAGTTCAAACCCGCTAGTAGTCATCCGCAATTGCAAATGAAGCCCAGGATTTGAATTTCCCGGGCTTCATTTGCATGAAGCCGGCCGGCGCCATTTTTAAATGCCAGCTAGTTCGAACCCCATGCCGCGCGGCTACACGCGGCACGGAGTAGCTAGTTCGGATTAGGCTTCCTAATCCGAACTAGCTGTACTCCTCATTCCACGAAGCCTAATCCGAACTAGCTACTCCGTGCTGCGTGTAGCCATGCAGCACGGGGTTCGAACTAGCCGGCATTTAAAAATGACGCCAGCCGGCATCATGCAAATGAAGCCCGGGAAATTCAAATCCTTGCGGACGACTACATTACCCCCGTTAGTTCGAACTAGCGGGGTAGTGTAGACATACCCTGAGTGCTGCACCGGCAACTCATCACATGCTATGCCTGTTCATGCCTTCAAATACACACTATTGGTTCATACTTGCTTCTTTGTTAACAGACTGACAGAAATGTCCATTTGAGTTCCACAGCAATAAAACCTGCTGTTCTTTAGTTTTTGCCTAATTTTGAAGTTACAGTACAAGACCAAAAAAAAAAAAAAAGCCAGAGGTCACATTTGGTCTTCTGGCTACACTTTAAACAACTCAGCTAGCACATAATGGTACCAGACTGCATAGGGACTCAGGATAATACTTCCTCCTACACATTTCTCTGATAAAGTAAGTTTTTACTAATTACTCCTATCATGCAGTGCAGAGCCCAGACAGCTAAAGGGAGTGATCTCACGCTCTAGCTTTCTGGCTCATGCATTTGAATTGTTAGCTACATACCAATTACTCTTTCTGTTGGTTAGGCACAAACCAAAGGAAGCGAGCAAGTCTTTTAGCTCCCTTGTGGAGTATGTAGGGCTGAAAATTAGGAAAGTCCTATTTGTATTTGTGGATTAAGTCTATAATAAAGTCCTTACAGGAAATTAAACATGGACTCCCCCCCCATGTCATTTTCAAAGTTGTTTTTGCTGCATTTTAAAATTTTACATTAGATTGTCAAAAAGAATCATCTGAAATTAAAGTTCACTAGATACTTCCATTAAGATTGAAACTTATCTCAATGGAGAAATTAAAAGTTCCTGCTGCAAAAATAGGAAACTAAATTTAGAGGCTGAAAATGCTACAAAGTTTGCCATTAAACTTCCATGGAATTAACGCAAAAATGGGTTCTAGGAAAAAGCTACAGTCAGAAAGATCAGATCTTTGTAGGATCCTAATCTTACTATCATAAACAGTGTGCATCAAAACAATAAACCAAAGCTTTTCCATCCAAAAGTTAGCTACATTATGCTTTGGGAAAACAGGCTGATGACCTGTTTCCATATACTGTACTTCCAAGACAAAGACCACATTAACAGACTGCTTTTCAACACAGTGCTTGGAAAAAAATACACATAATTAAAAAAAAGATGTACATGACTACTGTTCCCTGGATGCACACAAATGAGAGATATACATCTTTTTATAGTTGATCTCATCCTGAAGCAATAAGAATAGAAAGTGAAGAGTGTACACACTTAAGAGTAAAATATGTCAGTATAAAAATTAAGAAACAGATATTGGTATATCTAAAGAATTACAGTATATTTCAAATATTTTGTAGTTGCTAAGAAAGAATACAAGCTTTACATGAGAAAGAGTGACTGCTCCTACTTTGCTCTACTATCCTGAGAAGAGTCAATGTTTTCTTTCCACCTTCACATCATTCTGTTCACTGGCTTCTACTCTGTTGTCACTGAGCATAGTCAGAGCAATGACGATTTATTTTTTATGCTCACAGAGAATTATGAAGACAGTTTTCTTGAAAGTAAAAAATAAAAAGGTTAACTGACTCACTTCTCCTGTAGCATAGAAGTCATTTTTCTGATAGTCTGGAAAGAGCTGGAAAAACTGGATGAGCGCACTGAAACATAAATAAAAGTATAAATCAGGATTACACAGAAATTAATCTCACTCCAATTAAGCAATATATGTTAAAGTAGATTTACTCTATATACACAGCAGAATCCCATGTAAAGTTTTATAAGATGTTTGTCAGGATTAATACTCTCCATTAGAAAACTCATATCCCTAGGGTCTATGACATTTAAAAAAAAAACCCTACTTTTCCTTTAATGAGTGTGTGAAATATCCTGCTCTGGACTGAGCAATCTTTTGCCCCAGTGTTCACAAATTTTCTGGAAAAAGCAGCAGAATTAAAGATCACAGGCCACAGCATTTTTAAATTGATGAGTAAAGAGCAAAAGTTTTTGAAGCAGCATATTTAGAGTTTCAAGTATCATTTGAAAAGTTTAACTAACTTTTGTTTTCCCTCAGTCTCAGTGGAACTCCTTTTTTAACAGTTTCAACTAATGAAGCTATAACAGTCCTGTAGAAGGAAACAAAAAAGTCCTTCAAAGAAGGCAGAGAGATGAAATTGCAACTACCTTTGACTTATGACCATGCTAAGAAGGGTGCTGTCTTGGCATAGTAAGTATGCTTATTAAGTTTGCAGATGATACCAAGCTGGGAGGGGTTGCGACTGCTCTCGAGGATAGGGTCATAATTCAAAATGATCTGGACAAATTGGAGAAATGGTCTGAGGTAAACAGGATGAAGTTTAATAAAGACAAATGCAAAGTGCTCCACTTAAGAAGGAAAAATCAGTTTCACACATACAGAATGGGAAGCAACTGTCTAGGAAGTAGCACTGCAGAAAGGGATCTAGGGGTTATAGTGGACCACAAGCTGAATATGAGTCAGCAGTATTATGCCGTTGCTAAAAAAGCAAACATGATTCTGGGATGCATTAACAGTAGTGTTGTGAGCAAGACATGAGAAGTCATTCTTCCGCTCTACTCTGCACTGGTTAGGCCTTAGTTGGAATATTGTGTCCAGTTCTGGGCACCGCATTTCAAGAAGGATGTGGAGAAATTGGAGAGGGTCCAGAGAAGAGCAACAAGAATTGTTAAACGTCTAGAGAACATGACCTATGAGGGAAGACTGAAGGAACTGGGTTTGTTTAGTTTAGAAAAGAGAAGATTGAGGGGGGACATGATAGCAGTTTTCAGGTATCTAAAAGTGTGTCATAAGGAGGAGGGAGAAAACTTGTTCATCTTGGCCTCTGAGGATAGAACAAGAAGCAATGGGCTTAAACTGCAGCAAGGGAGGTTTAGGTTGGACATTAGGAAAAAGGTCCTAACTGTCAGGGTGGTCAAACACTGGAATAAATTGCCCAAGGAGGTTGTGGAATCCCCATCTCTGGAGATATTTAAGAGTAGGTTAGATAAATGTCTATCAGGGATGGTCTAGACAGTATTTGGTCCTGCCATGGGGGCAGGAGACTGGACTTGATGACCTCTCAAGGTCCCTTGCAGTCCTAGTATTCTATGATTCTTTCTGAAGCGGTGTCACAGAATAACCTACAGACACCACTGTGACAATAACTGGGCAACCAACACTTAGGAGCTGTGTCTACATTGGCACCCCTTTCCAGAAAAGGGATGCTAATGAGACACTTCGGAATAGCAAATTCCACGGGGGATTTAAATACCCCCCGGGGCATTTGCATGAACATGGCTGCCGTTTTTTTCCGGCTCGGGGTTTTGCCGGAGAAAAGCGCCAGTCTAGACTGGATCTTGCAGAAAATAAGCCCTTTTCCGGAAGATCCCTTATTCCTACTTTCAAGGAAAAGGGCTTATTTTCCGCAAGATCCCGTCTAGACTGGCGCTTTTCTCCGGCAAAACCCCGAGCTGGAAAAAAGCGGCAGCCATGTTCATGCAAATGCCACGGGGGATATTTAAATCCCCCACGGAATTTGCAATTCCGAAGTGTCTCATTAGCATCTCTTTTCCGGAAAAGGGTGCCAATGTAGACAGCCTGAAGGTACAAGGGTCCATTACTAAGTTTATAAGATTGAAAGAATTTACCAACGCACTAGGCAACCACAAGCAGCATGGCTGGCAACCACTGGGGGCCCCAGAGCAAGGTGTGTGTGCAGAGGGGGGGGATGTGGCAGCTCCGTGCCACAGGAAGGGGCCTTAGTTAGAAGGGGTGGCGGTGAGGTGCCACAGTGCTGGGCCTCTCCCCAGCCCTCAGAGCTGTGCAGAACAGTGCTCTAGTGGTGATTCAAAGGGGTCTATGGCTCCAGCTCCTGTACTACAGCAGTGGCAGTGGCCAGAGCTCCGGTCCCCTTTGAATCGCTGGGCCACAGGGCAGCTTCTCCCTTTATTCCCCCTGTCAGCAGGTCTGAACACCGGAAAATACATTTAAAAAAATAAATAAATAAAAGGTTGAGATTTCACAGACAGCTAAAAATCCTGACCATTTCTGCTCAGTTTCCTGTAACTAGACCCAAATTTCTTATGAAGCTTTTTAGACTTGCTTTCTTTCTCTCGCCTCTGACTTGCAGGAAAGGGGGGTGGGATGCATGAAAAATGAGAACCCTATAAAAGGGACAGCTGAAATCAGTTTTCTACACTACCCTTTGATTAGCTATTCTTCAGCTTGGAGAGCCTGAAGCTAAAAGAACTAAAAACAGCTATAAACAATGAATGCTTTGAATTAGCTTTTCTTTATATATGTTATGCAAAAGGAGATGTGTCACATGCCTTCAGTAAATAGCCACATAGAAGGTCGGCTGGCATTTGTAACAAAATCTTAGAGAAAAATCTCTAACAAAAAGCAGTTCCAAAATTTAAGACATTACTTCTTGAATTCCATATTAAAGCCAAGATGTCTGCCAGCTAAACCAGTAAACTATTTACTATGGGAGTAACACAAACAAAAAGGTAAGTCTGAACATATGGTGCTTCAGAGGAGAAGACAGACAGCAGAGGCTCCATCATGCTAGGTACTTAGCACGCTGGCCCAACTGAGCAGAGCACTTTAGCATGGAACAGCAAAGCCCTATGCTTAAGTGCTTAGCATCCTCTAGGACTGTGGTGTCCAACACACTAGCCACTAGCCACATGTGGCTATTTGGCCGGTTGAGTGTGGCTAGGTCGCTGTAGCAATAGCCACTATAACCATGTAACTATGATTCTAAGATCAAATTCTAATGTTTAGGAATACGGACATGCATCCCTCAACAGATTTTGTGATAAAGTAAATATTCTTAGTATAAAGATATTCAGTGGAGCATTCTGCCCTTCTAAAGATTCTGTTCTGCAAAAGGACCAGTGGAAGGAGAGAATTGAACTTTTACTTTGTTTTTTTCCCAAATCTCACAAACAAGCAACAAAAACCTCTCAGCAATAGGGGCAGGCCACCCATTTTGTATAAGTTATTAAGATTCTCAAGTCCTATTCCAGCAATAAACCTATGCAAACAGATCCCCATGTTCGTAAAACTTCACTGGAGTTTCCTGCTGCAGCTCTCAATGCCAGATCTCAACCTAAATCTTGATTTACCAGTACTTTGATCGCTTTAGAGATATGTACTGGCTGAGGAACCTCTGGCAAAAGTTTGCTAAGGAAGGGCTGGGAACCACGAGGAAAAGAGGCTGCCTAAAAAGAGGACGTTTCAGGTAGGAGATTTATTTGTTTTATTTTTTCAGACTGACACTTAGAAACCAGCAAGAGGAGAAAATGGCCATTAAAAAGCATTAACCGAAATCAAGGAAACATTTAACCAAAAGTGTCTATAGAAAGTACAGAGAACAAAGGAATGGAGCAAGGCATGAAGGACAGACAGACTTTCTGGAAAGCTCAAGAAATTCTGCTATGGTCCCGGTTTCCTATATCCAAACATTAAAGGTTCAGCACAAGATACAAAAGCACACTGAAGCTGGCAATTTTCCTCATTGTTTTGAGTCCCCATCTATCCCCCTCTACTAATGTCTCCTTAAATGTTTAGTATTTTAATTTTGTTCAACATACTGGTTACTGAAACAAATAACTAGGGGCACTTAAAAGTTCATTCCTGCCCTAGAGAGTTTATGGAATTCAGCAATATTCACCATATGTGCTGCAAATCTCTCTAGAACTAGAATGAACTATAAGTGTATCCACTACATATAATCCTAATGTTATGCAAAAATTCTTAGTAATAAAACAAATACAATTATTTTCCGTAAATATTAATTAAAATGTTTTTAGAAGCTGGCCAGAAGAGGTCAGCAGTGCTAGCTTTCGGGAAACAGAGATGGACAGGAATGAACATAAAGAAAGAAATGGAGTAAGGTGGCACAATTTACCTGTATAAATCTCTTCCTACATCATCTTGGTTTACTGCATATCCCGTATCATCGGTAAAACTAAAGCCAGTGCCAACCTGAAAATGAAACAAAAACTCATGAGATACGAGAACAAAATTGCTTCTAGCTCCTTAATGCTTTATATTTGGGGGAGGAGGGACGCGGGGAGGAGGAAACTATGTGGCAAAATAATATTGAATTGAGTGAGAAACCATATACTTTACACAAAAAATGTAATTTAGGTTAAAACTAATGATGGCATTTAAAAAGTTAAAAACTTTATTTCTGTACTCAAGACAGACTTATTCTCTGTTCTGTTTTCAGAGCAGGTCATCTCACCAAATGGTGCAAAACAAACCTTAACTTTCATCTTGGCAAATAAGAAAAAGTGGCAATATATTCTTGATCCTTTTCTAAAATTCCAAAAATACTTTTAACTATACTTTGTTAGTAATTTGTAAATCACAGTCCATACCTATCACACTGTAGCATGAAGAGTCTTCCAGTATCACATAAAGTGATGCAACTAACATTTGTCAAATTCTCCTACATGTTTAAAAAATAGATTACCACAAAAAAGTTTCAGAATGGAGCTTGAAAGTAGAATTATCAAGACAACTTTTTAAAGGTATACATTTCTCTCACCTGTCCCTTTACAACAGAGGTGGGGAACCTTTTTTGAGTTGGGTGCCACTGACCCACACAAAAAAAAAAAAAAAAAAATCAGTCCGGAAGCTCCATACCACACTTGTGAGAAGCGAAAAAAAACCCAAAACTCTCACTGATGTGGCCCCTGACTGAGAAGGAGAAAGACACTCCCCACATTCCCCTCACGCACCAGAGCCTGGGGCTCCCAGGCTAGTAGATTCTTTGTGCTCCAGCCTCACGGTAGAGCAGCAGGGGGGCTAGAGCACCAATGCTGGGGTGGCCCTGAACCTAAGGGGACCAGATCCAGGCAAGCTGGGGATCACATCCAGCCCCAGGGCCTGAGGTTCCCCACCCCTGCTTTACAATATAAAATAGACAGTACACCTATGCATACACTTTCATATTATGTACTTACTGGATTGTCAATGTAAAGCATGGAAAATTTAGATGTCCAAGGAAACTTCCGTTTATACAC